AAAATATGTGTTTGAATGCAAAGATATATACATACAGTGCTGACAAAGTACAGGCCATCCTCAAAGGGACATCAGTACAAGCGGAAGCCACTATTACCATATGTGTTTGAATGCCAAGATATATACATACAGTACTGACAAAGTACAGGCCATCATCAGAGGGTCATCAGTACAAGTGGAAGCCACTATTACAATATGTGTTTGAATGCCAAGACATACAGTGCTAACAAAGTGCAGGCCATCCTCAGAGGGACATCAGTACAAGCAGAAGCCACTATTACAGTATGTATTTGAATGCCAATATGTATATACATACAGTGCTAACAAAGTGCAGGCCATCCTCAGAAGACATCAGTACAAGCGGAAGCCACTATTGCAATATGTGTTTGAATGCCAAGATATATACATACAGTGCTGACAAAGTGCAGACCATCCTCAGAGGGACATCAGTACAAGCAGATGCCAAGATATATACATACATTGCTAACAAAGTGCAGGCCATCCTCAGAGGGACATCAGTGCAAGCAGAAGCCACTATTACAATATGTGTTTGAAAACCAAGATATATACATACAGTGCTGACAAAGCACAGGCTATCCTCAGAGGGACATCAGTACAAGCAGAAGCCACTACTGCAATATGTGCTTGAATTCCAAGATATATACATACAGTTCTGACAAAGTGTAGGCCCTTCTCAGAGGGACATCAGTACAAGCAGAAGCCACTATTGCAATATGTGTTTGAATGCCAAGATATGTACATACAGTGCTGACAAAATGCAGGCCATCCTCGGAGGGACATCAGTACAGGCAGAAGCCACTATTACAGTATGTGTTTGAATGCCAAGATATATACATACACTGCTAACAAAGTGCAGGCCATCCTCAGAGGGATATCAGTACAAGCAGAAGCCACTATTACAGTATGTGTTTGAATGCCAAGATATATACATACACTGCTAACAAAGTGCAGGCCATCCTCAGAGGGATATCAGTACAAGCGGAAGGCACTATTGCAATATGTGTTTAAATGCCAAGATATACAGGGTGTCCCAGGAGGAATGTGCCAAACTCCGGGAGGGTGTTCCTTATGGTAATGTATGCCGATATAACCTAAAACACCTATGTCCAAAGTTGAACAGTTACGGAGATAATGGCCAGAGAATTGTGAAACTTTGACCGGTGTGACACACTTGTTGATTACAAAATACCTATTAAAACTGGCAGGAATATGTGGTTTCTGTAATGTTAATATTGTATGTAACATCAAGCTAAGTTGTGAGTGACATGAAGCCATAAAATTGAAGTACAAAATACCCACTCGCCATGTCATAATTGTCCTTAGGATTCCAGGCACTCTAAATGACACATGATTGGCAAGCGCTGACGTAACATGGCTGGCTGAGCATTCTGGTATAAGCCGACTACATAACTGTATTAAACGTACATTCACGGAAAATCTCTTTTGGAATTTCGTTTCCATTATCTCATGTGGATTATTATAGTACCAAGTATGCACATTTCCTAAATTATTTACACCGTCCCGGGTAAAAGACGCCTCATCACTGAATAAAATGACGCTTAACAGTTTGGGATGAGCTTTTATCCAGTGGCACAAATCCATACGCTGTGCATGGTCGCCTGGTTCCAAATGTTGTACCCTTTGATCATGGTAAGGATACAACTCTTCATCATGTAAAGTTTGCCACACCTGCATACGTGATATGCCGATGCGAGAGGCTATTCTACGAGTGGACAGATGCGGACTTCTCTGAACCATCTCAAGAATGTTCTCTCGTGTGTTTATCATTCGTACATCCTCCCTTTCAGACTGCACAGAAACACTCGGAAGAGAACCAGTATCACTCAATGTCTGGTGAATTCGCTTAAATACACTTCGAGATGGAATCCTTTGATCGGGAAAAAGCCTTTGGTATTCTTCAACAGCAGCACGTGCATTGTCACCGCAAAATCCACACACAAAATGCATATCACAATATTCCACGTGTGAAAACACAAAAGGCATTTCAGCAACTCCGCACAACTAATTACCAACCATTCACGACGCGGCCGCAACGTACTCTGTACGTAGCACATGAGCTTACGGCTAGTGTGAATCACCACACTCAAGGACAAACATAGATAAGACGTCTCAGCTGACAGGTACATTGCGTGGACCCGCCAGAAGACCACACTTTTCTTGGGCCATTATCTCCGTAACCGTTCAACTTTTGACATAGGTGTTTTTGGTTATATCGGCATACTTCAACATAAGGAACACCCTCCCGAAGTTTGGAACATTCCTCCTAGGACACCTTGTATACATACAGTGCTGACAAAGTGCAGGCCATCCTCAGAGGGACATCAGTACAAGCAGATGCCACTATTGCAATATGTGTTTGAATGCCAAGATATATACATACAGTGCTAACAAAGTACAGTGTGTATAAAATATAATATTTTAACAATTACAGCGTCTGTCTTAACGTGTTAAAATATTTACAATTAGTTTGTTAGAATTTTGTTGGAAATTATGAACAAAGTTAGTTCACGTCCTTTTTTATTATTTTTTCACTTGAAGGAGGCCAAACGTGCACAGCCTTGTAGTTCTGTTGTTTTTGAGAAGAGGATTCTTTAGTGTCGTCCTGCAGATGTTTGCAGTGTCCTGTGTTGTTCACAGCAACAGGGCAATATGAATGCATCTACACGTGAACGTAACCTTGAGAGGAGGATATTATATAAATGTTTTGTACGAAGAAAAAAAACAAAGATATTCCATGATAATTACTGCAGTCAGTTTTATAGCCCTTCATGTAAATTGGTACACTAACAGACTCCTTCCACTGATCAGGCAATTTTCCATTATTCCAAATAGAAATACTGGGTGGGGCGCAGAAACTTTCCTTTTGTGAAGACGCATTGTGAAGTGAGGGGAGGTCGCAGAAAAGTGGGGATAGGCTCGGCGAACGCAGCAGTCGCGGAAGTTTCTGTCTATTACCCCTCAGTAGGAATCAAGAGGTGGACACCAGAAAATGTGGAGGCAGTTTGACAGTCGATTTTGTTATCTCCAAGACGCTCCGCTCGCAAACCTGCAGTCGCCCTAGACATATCCAATCGTTCAATGCGCCGAATTCTTCATGAACATCTTCATTTACATCCCTATAAGATGGTTGTTGTGCAAGAATTGTCACCACGTAATTTCCAGAACCGAATAACGGCGTACGAAACGTTGTTGGAAATTTTACCCCCTGACGCTCTTGTTTTCTTTAGTGATGAAGCACATTTTCACCTATCCGGATATGTCAACAAGCAGCATATGCAATACTGGAGTGGTAACAATCCCAGAGAGCTCCATGAAAGGCCACTTCACAGTGGCCCTTATTTTTTTTTGGAAGACAATCATGCAGTTACTGTCAATTCACAGCGGTATGTGACCATGATTAAAAACTTTTTCGAACCAGCTCTTGAAGAAATGCATCTAGGAAATGTCTGGTTCCAACAGGATGGTGCTACGGCCCACACAGCCCGAGCTTCGATGACAGTTTTGAGGGCAAAGTTCCCCGGACGGCTCATCTCGCTTCGAGGTGACATCCTCACCTGATCTAACGCCCTGTGATTTTTTTATGGGGATACCTCAAGGCNAGTTACAAATGGATATAGAAATTAAATAAGAGCACTGATTTGAAAAATACTTTTATTTCTCAACATAATCTCCCTGTACATTGAGGTACTTGTCCCATCGTTTCACAAGCCCTTAAAAACCAGCAGCATATAATTCTTTGGCTGCTATCAGAACCAGGCAGTGACTGGGATCACGAAGGCATACAGCTCACCTCATTCCAGCCTCAAGGACAAACCGTAAATGCCGACTCCTACTGTAACATCCTCAGGAATCTTCCTAAGGCCATTCAACGGAAGCGACCAGGACGCCTCTCCAAAGGCGTGTTGCCCTTGCATGACAACGCGCGTCCCCATACTGCTAACAAGACAAATGAGACACTGCGAAATTTCAAGTGGGGAGTCCTCGAGTATCCTCCGTATAGCCCCGACCTTGCTCCAAGTGACTTCCATTTGTTCGGCCCTCTTAAACATCATATTTCGGCTGAACATTTGCCCGACGATGAAGCTGTAGATAGGGAAGTCACCGCCTGGTTCCGGAAGCAGCCCAAAGAATTTTATGCTGCTGGTTTTCAGGGGCTTGTGAAATGATGGGACATGTGCCTCAATGTACAGGGAGATTATGTTGAGAAATAACAGCCTTTTTCAAATCAGTACTCTTATTTGTTTAAGTTCTATATCCATTTGTAACTTACTTATTGACTTATCCTATTTCTATCTGCCTAACATCACTGACCCTATCTACACTCGATAACTGAGAGAGGTAGTTCCTCTACCTATTCAGAATGTTGTGGGAATCTGCAAGCAGATCACCATTCTCA